AATTTTGGCGCGAATAATTTTGACATAAAAGGGTGTGTACATTTCATACAATTACTTCACCGCGCCGACAATGGGTCTACAAAAACACAAAAACATTCCCAAGAATTGATATTTCTTTGTCCTCGCATGAAACCGCTTCGGCAAATCGGCAATGTAAACAATGACGTCACCGGTGGATTTTTCCACCGGTGATATTTGGCGCGCTGCAAGTGACAAAAGTCCTTTCCACAGAGGAAGCGAAGCGCGCCATAGAAGGGTCTGGAAAGGACTTTGGAAAGTCTATAAATATAAAAGGACTTGCAATTTGCTATCTGCTAATTTAAACCCTGAACTATGAAGCTGTTTTTAAAATTTTCATTCTTAGAGAAGATATGGTCAAGAGACTTGCTCCAAGTCAGGCCTGCAAATTAGTGCCAGTCATCGGAAATTTTCTGGCCAAATTCTACCTTTTGTCCGATCAAAGCTTTTTATGACTGTACATGTGACCGACCAATTTAGTAGGCTGGCCAAATGTCCAATATAAAAAAATTTTTTACTAACATGACCTGCCAAAAATACATCGTGCTAAAAAAATGAAAATTTTTCTTTGTCCATTGTCCAAGAGAAGCTGATAAATGTCCGACTATATTTTGTCTTGGCCGGACATTTGTCCTTCCAAGCAAAACAATTATTTGCAGGTCTGCAAGTTCATCAACTCAGGGTTTAAAATAAATATTTAAATTTAGTCTAGATATATTTGTAGGCTGTTTGGTGCATGTACCTTTTTTGTACCTGCGATTTTTTCCAGGCTCTGATAAGTCCAACATGAAATAATTATGCAAAAAATACCACCATGTACAAAAGCCACAGCAAAATGGGAAGCAAGACAGAAAATGCATGCAAAACAGTCTTTTCAAAAAGTCATTTCAAAAATTGTAAGATGAAAATCAATGCCCAGCATAATGCAGGTAATTAAATAAACCATCACAAAATAAAATTTTACGTTTCGTCCATGGCTCTTTTATGTGCATTATGCCGGGCATTGATTTTCATCATACAGTTATGATTCCGGCCTTGTTCATGGACACCAGAATGCTTAACACAATATATTTTTATGTCAAGACAGCATCTTTTTAATTTAAAATCTATAAATTCATTATATAGATCCATGAATTAAGAAGGAAAAACTCATTGTTGCTAATTTAGAATTTGCTGGCTAGTGCTGTGAAAATGCCGGTGACAGCCGGCTGCTATTTTAAACCCTGCAACTAAATTATGTAAGATCAATGCAAGGTCATTCACCATGCTGTGAATTAAATGCCTGAAAACCCCCAGTTCTACACATCCATTCAGCATTCCTGTTGATAACAGTAATTACTACTCAAAGTAAATAATGTATTGTATATAATCAATTAACCAGTCAAGGATTGACAGACGAACTATTCCTCAATGTAAAACAGAGTGCAAAGTTTATCCACAAGTCTTTCATGGAGTCTGATAAAGATCAATAGCATAGTGTAAAGAAAGACTTTTAGATAGACTCCATACTCTGTTTTCTGCCACCATGCCCAAATATCATCTCTATGGGGTTAGTAAAAAGACCTTTACGTTTTTCAAAATTAACTTGATTAGGTTCTAATAGGTATTGACAAGATTAGAATTTACATGAGATAAACGAAAAAAACAGATGATTGATTGAAATAATGACAGAAGATTAATTTATCATCTAGGAGGTCCACTTGTTTAAAAATACCTCAGTGTCTTATATTTGTTGCTCAGTTTATACAATGTATAACTTATACAATGTATGTTGCTCAGTTTTACATTCTAATCAGTATATAGCTAGTGCATATAACCTTGTAACCTTGCTATATTGATCCTGTTTAGTTAAAACGATTTAATTAGAACACACAATGGTTCATGTCATTAATAAAGCCCGCTCTAAAAGTGCAAGCTTTGACTTTCTCATCTTTGATCAAATAAACCAGCGCCGATCTGTCGGAATAAAAATTCACAGTGATCTATAATATTGTTTAATAATTTTGTATAGTTTTTGCACAGTATGGACCTTTTAATCTTTTGACATTACAATTCAGGTAAATCAATAGCGCAATTATAAAGTCTGGAGCGGAAAAGATGGAAAATGCCACTTGGCATATGGGACAAAAACAACGACATATAACATGAACTGTTTGCTTTGCCAAACACGTTGTTTAGGCTAACTTACCGCGGTAAAAATCGACCGTCGTACGCAAAATAAAGCTCCTTTTTCAAGGCAATAGTTATCAATTTTAAAAAAATTTAAGGAAATTGCATTCACTCCCATTTTGATAAAATTTTAATGTGATAACTTCCCAACATCATGATTTGGTTTGTAACACTGGCTTGACGCCATCAAAGAACTCCAAGCCATTGTTCTTGAAATGCGTTGTTAGGTACACTCAAGGAGGCTTACTCAGCTATATTTATATTACTGAAATAACACTCAAAGATGCGATTAGCAATATCTCCAACCGTTACATAAATCAAGGTCATAAACATGGTCAAAACTTAGCGTTTGCACCACTTTACCGGCGGTTCAATGATGTCCGATCCTCGCTGTTAATACTCACACTGCCCACACAGAAAGCTCTCCTTTCTGGCCATGTCATTTATAAATTCTGTGCTATAATATAAAATCTATAAAATATTTCTATATGGCATAAACGACCGCCCATATCATCGTAAAAATATACAGAAAGCATCATCTAGTGTAGTGAGTAGTGTAGAGGGAAACAGCTGCAATGCAATGTATAAATAAAAGTAGTTGTAGAAATCATAAAATACCTTTCGGTCTTCATGGGCAATGTCGTCTTTCGTTGAAGCCATTGTTTGTCACAGACGTCGAGGGACAAGAGGCTGAATTTTTTTCTGGTTAGGTTAGCGAAAATTTCAAATAGCAAACGGTTTTAAATAAACAGTATCACCTGGTACACATTCTGCTTGCCTTCTCCGCTGGAGACTTGTCAAACTCGCTCAAACTCAAACTGTGCTTCCACAACAATTTATTAAAATTTTTATCTCGATTGAACTCGATTGCAAAATTTCTTTAGGAAAGGTTTGGCTTTTGAAAGTGTTTGGGAGAAGCCGGAAGGACTAAAATTAAGAATATGTAAATTTCTAGTCCAAATTTTGCAGGCTTTTAAATCAAGAGGGAACTTCTCCCCTTGTTCTTGGCAAAAAGCCCTGATCCCCACTCCCAACATCCTTGGTTTGTGGCAGCTTTCCAAGAATTGCCACTTATATTCAAAAATTGACGTATATTTTCAAGGAATAAAAGGTAAAAAAGAACTGTTCATTTTCACAGTCAACTTTCCTTGAAAATAAAGGTTAGCACTATTTTCCATCCAGCAAACTGAGCTGACGTCATTTTCGCAGGTGTTAAATGGCTATGTAACTAACCCAAACCCTACCCCTACTCTAACCCCTAACCCTAACCTCAACCCGAACTCTAACCCTAACCGAATTAATAAAAAAATCCAAAAAGAAACGACTTTACAAAATCGATAGGGCGGTTTGCTGGATGGAAAAAAGTGCTAACCGAAAATAAAACTGGGTTTCTGGACAAAAATATCCTACTACATCCTCATTAATTCTTCTTGCTCTCAGGAATCCCTAATATTCCCATTTTATCCATCTTCTTCTTCCGGCTCATATAGCCATATAGGCTATGCCTGTATCTCATTTGGTATCTATATAAAGTACATAACATTGTGTTATGTTTTGGAAATTCTGGTTCTGAACGCCGACATTAGAAGGGCAATGTTTTCAAAACTAGGTGGTGGAAGTTGTGATGGCGAATTAAGACCTGACATCGCTGAATGCTCAGATAATGGAACCTCTAACAGGTAGTCAATAAAACTGCCAAAACTGGAAAATTAAATTTTATGTATTTTGAATTTTAGAATGTTATTAATACCATAATCAAATATGACTAGATAAATATTCTTCAAGTGATTCACGTTACGTTCAAACAAATTTTGTACAAACAAAGGTTTGTTTCCAACATAATTGAATATAATTTGGCATATTTTTGTCAAACTGAGTACAGACTGATACGTTAATAGGTAGACTGTCTCTGCACCTGACTGGAAAAGTTTGGAAATTATGCACTCGAGATTTCACATAGAGAAATCAAAACTGTGTGTCCAAGATCTTTGTTGTGTGATACAAACTTTTCCCAGTGGTCCCAACAAAACTGCCATGCACTTGCCTTTCACTGCTATTAAAGGTCGCAGATCCAAATCTCAGTGAGAAAGTTCTCAATGCGACTCGAACCCAGTCCTCATGTGGAAAGAGTAAAAAGTCAACGCTCTGCTGAAAGTCGTGGGTTTTCTCCGGGTACTCCGGTTTCCTCCCACAGGGAAAGTTGAGAGGGTGGGTTATCAGTCAATTCCAGCGGTTTATGTGTGATATACCAAGTCACGGGTGACATCACAAGTCAAGAGTGACGTCACACCAATAGGATTTAATCAGGATCAGTATTCAGCCCGGGGGTGGGGACTTAGACGTTTTCCATAATGGCGATTGGTGGACTATAACATGGCAGATTTCGCTGGAAAAGATACTGAATTTGTTTGCAAATGGCTTGATACTCATTCTTTGAGATGGTCTTTCAGTACCATTGTCTTTGATCATTGATGAATAAATCCTTTGTCTACATGAAATAGTTTTTCTCCTTCAATGGACAAAGATCACTATAAAAAATTATCTGTGAGTACATCACCAACCGTCAGCGACATACGAAACCTGTCCGGACGCGATATACGACAACGCGATGTGATTTTTTAGGCAGCGTTTACACTGTACCGTTTTCGTAGCGTTCTCGTATTGTTCTTAATCCTCAAGGGAACGCAAGACAATCTAGTTCTCTTGAACAATACGAGAACGCTACGAAAACGGTACAGTGTAAACGCTGCCTTAGTTTGTGAAAGTTAATAAAACAGCCAATGAGAGCAAATTTTAAAAGATATGTAGACCAAATAATTCAAAATGTTATAACGCTTCTAAATATTTGGAAAGTTTAAACTAGGATCAAAGTTATCGATCAGTGAAAATCGAAGAATCGCATCCGGTGTGTATATTTTCAAAGGTTGACATTAATATTATCATAGGTCTAGCCAGATGAGCAGAAGTTAGGGTTGAGAATTACAGTGTTGCAGTAATATAAAGCATTTTTATCCTTGGTGTAGAACTTCTTTTTTGTACTTTGCATTTATATTGTCCATAGGCATAGGATTATAACGTGCAAATCAATGTGTACTCTAAACAGTCAAATATATTATTGTCTGGGGGTGGGGATATAGGCCCAATTAGTTTGCCCAGGGGTGGGGCTTTAGCACCATTCTTTCCCTGGGGTGGAGACATTTTCTTTCCAGAAATAGAAAGGCACTGCTGGAATTGACTGATACATTAGGTAAAAGGGCCCACAGTAATTGGCATATGCCATTCTGGTGACCCTGCCCTAGTTGGCAAAGCTAAATAAATATTATTAAGGTAATTCTGCAGTTTTGCATTGCGCATTTGTACTGCGCACATCTTATAACTTATAATTTCATCCATTATATGTACCGTTTAAAACAAAATATCATTTTATGACAATTTTATGTCACTTCAAAATATCTTTGATTACATTTGTGCAAAGAATTATGTTAAAATCAATGTTTTCTGAAAAGGCATACAAAAGTGTAGCTAGGGTTCCCTGTGTCTGTAGTATATTTATTTACTTGTATGTCACGTTTTAACGCCACAATTCCCTAAAATGATCGGTGACCCCCGTTTTTTAACTGATAATTTATTTCTTTAATGCATTTTACATTTCATATCTGAAATTAAAAGAAAAATCATTTCTGGATCTTGATCAAAAAAGCTTTATCAATGCATGTTCTCAATAAAAGATATGTAAAGAAATGTGCAAAAGATATTTGTGGATCAGAATTGTACACGTTAGTAGTTTCATTTTGCTCAAAACACAATATTTTTTCAAAAATAATTACAAGATAGGTTTACTAAAGCAAAATACACACTAAAAACGTCAATAAATATCGGGCTGTTGTGAGTTTGCTGTTACTCGTAATGAGCGTCAAGATGGCGCCATATTGGGGTAAAGTCTATGGGTAAAGGTTGTATATTGTGATTGTCATATCTTCTTAACGAGTTCGGTGACCCCGACTTTTTTTGTGTGATTTTACTTCAAGTATATCATAAACTCCATGCCTGGGAAGTTTCAGCACATTCTCATTTCGGAAACAATTACTGCGGAATTACCTTAAATAAATTCTGCAAAATCTGTTGCATTTGTGTAAAGATGGTTTATGTTTAATTATTTACCATTAGTGGAATTTTAAAATATTTTCCTGTGATTCAGATCCTTTTATCTTTATGTGATTTAGAGCCTCTTACAGTATCTTTATAATTTAGAGCCTTTCATTCATTGAATAATATGGCTATAATATATAGTATGAGTCTATGACATTGACATCACAAATAACAAGATAATTATAATGATCTTGAAGGCCAAGGTCTCACTTGGCTTAGCCCCTGCCCTCCCCCTCCCCTCCCCAAGAATTTCTGTATAATATTGTGATTTATATATAATATAAGTATACCTGTAGGTGTGAATTAGTTTCTTTACTTGAAAAAAAAACCCAACAAACAATCATCTGAAAAACTCGCTCAATGCTCAACGTTTTTCCAAATTTAACTTGAAAAATGTACTCACTTCCACACTTTCACTTTCTGGAAAACATTGATGTTAATAACCAGGTTTTTGTGGCAAGCAGTGTGAGCCAGGATGTCTGCACAATACTGTAGTATACCAGAGATTATTCATCTTAGTACATTAATAATTAGATCACATTAGTACCCTTGTGCCGGGTTTATGTCCGGAACGGTGCTCAAACCATTGACTCAGAATTAAAAGCTTGTTTTTTCCCCATGGTTACTGTATATTGCATTGAACACTAAGTGATAAACAAGATGAATACCAAATGTGGATTGTGATCTCTGGATAGTAACTAGATAGAAGCCAGAAAGCAATTGCAGTTTTAAACATTAGACTTCAAACATTAATATCATTGACTAGCCTCGATCCTCCTCAGGCTTATGTTCTCCCCATTCTGTACTCAAACAGAAATTGGTAATTTTCAAGAGCTGCCTGCGGAAGAGGCTAATTATCAATATGATTGACTGGAATCAATATATACACAAACTACTGTGTGTCTACTAAATATTTACTTGGCAGTGCATACTTCAGTTTGCCTCCTTGTACCCAGGTTCTTTCCTTTGATGCTGCAGGGGGATAGGAGCATCAGAATGGCCTGGGTATGAGGTTGTTTTGCCTCATGGTTGTCTTAGCAAAGATTTTAACTATTTGAGAAACCACAGTTTCATACATGCTTCTGGAAAGTATGTCATCTTGGCTATAGAGCCTAGCTTGTTTTTGTGATTGAGATGTCAGGCTAAAACTAATGTCACCCACAGGAAAACAAGGTTCTATAGCCAGATTCTAGGTGACACACATTCTAGGTGACATGCATTCCAGAAAGATGTATTGAATGCATTTCACAAAACCATTGTATATATGGATCAACTGCGACCATGGTTAGCTGTTCTTATTGCTTTCCCAACACTATCATGTATTTATTTAAGTTAAAACATAGTTGGAACACTTATCAAACTTTATTTTGTTAATCTGGAGCTTGAAATATCTCCTGTAACAATTTGTGGCTGTCAACTCTCATCATGCAATGCAATCATTCTTGTTTGGCCGGGGCTTAACAAGTGTTTTTGATTACATATGCAGAGTTGATGTACAAAATTCTTAATGAGCAGTCCGCTCCAAGTCTTAGAGAAAAATTTATAAAAATTAAAGATCTTAATAGAGAATATAATCTTCGAAGTAATGATACTGATCTAGCACTTCCAAAACCTAAAACAAACTATCTTAAACGAAGTTTTAAGTATAGTGATGCAATGCTGTGGAATAGTTTTCCTTCTCAGACGAAAAAGGCATCCTCGCTTTACCAATTTAAATGCAGTATGCCCACTATACCGGAGACTAGGATGTGAGTTACGATAGTTTGTAAGTATAACATGCCCCATCTGAAAATCAACTCATTGTATTTTTACAAATATGTTGTGTATGGCCAGCGTGGTTAAATAAATTTTTAAGTAAGTATGTATGTAAGTTCCCAATATAATGTGGTGGTTTCCAGATGTCTCACCATGATGATTTTGAAAAATAAATTAATATAGACCATAATAGAGTAGTTTTGGTCAGCTGTGATAAACAGGAAATATATTGGGTTATAATTTTCAGCAATAACCAGCGATTGTCTACGCTATAGACGGCAAAAATCCCTGGGCGCTGGCTTTTTTGGGGAAACCTGTATATGGCATCCCACCACTGGCCACCAGGCACACGACGTTTCAACGTTGAAATTTGGTAGAAAAAAGGTTGCGACGTCGACAACCTAATATCTACGTTGCTCTGACGTTGTTTTACAAACATTGGTTCAACAGCAGCCAACAGACGTTGAATTAACGTTCATTCATGGTTAAATGTACGACGTCGATTTGTGAACCAATCTCAACGTTGTTTTAACGTGGATTCAGCGTTGAATTATGGTTGACGAGATTAGCAACCTAATTTCAACGTTGTTTCAACGTCGAAACAGTAACGTCGATCCAATTTGCATAGTCAACCCTTTTTCAACGTCTATCCAACGTCTGGAAGGTCATTTCCAACGTTGATTCAACGTTGGATAAACGTCATTTTTCCCGCTGGGATGATTTGAGATGTTAGTGAATAAGTGAATCTCATACCTGGGCTCTTTCTTTTATGTTTCATGATACGAGTCTTGAGTTAACATCTCTATATTCAGAAGTTTAGTAAGCATGAAACAGTGCTGTAAGAGTTACATGCACAAATAAGGAACTGCTGCAGTAGTTTCCGGTAACAAGTTACACATAAAAGAATGTAACTGGTTACCGTTACAACGTTACTTCACAAAAACCTGCAAGATCAGAAAAGTAACACGTTATCGTTCCAGTTTAAGCCAAAATATGACTAGTTACAGTTTCCTCTTTTCAAAACGTTACGGTTACTACTTAAAAAAGTAACGATTACTTGTAATTTGGTTAATTGTAACGAAGTTACTTCCAGCACTGGCGTGGAAGGTCCTAATGAAGGGCCAGACATGAACCATGCCAGGTTGTGACATTCCTTGCATTATAGCTATTTATTGATTTCAGAAAATTGGCGTTTCAAAACCTTCTTCGGAGATACTATCATCAAGTGACTCATGGTTGTGGCAATGCAAAATGTGAGAATAAATCTTGTGCTCAAAATAGACCTGCACCTGTTGGCAATGATGAAGGAGCTGCTATTGCTTTACAATTGGTCAAAGAAAGAGCAAATCTTTGTGTTGGAGAACTTCCAAAAGTCAGTGAGAAACAAAAAGAACCTCCAAAAGTTCAAGGTAAACGATGAAATAAATAGAAGCATGAAAATTATTTTGACATATCAGCAGCATATCGATAATAACGAACACTTTTGTATGTGTTTTCACCGACCATCCACGCCAATACGATGGAAAACAGATACCTTCATCAATGGAAAAGGAGCTTTTCGAAAATGACCCTATTATGAGCGAAGATTGTAGATCATACACTGTACCTCGACGAACAATACATAAGAATCTACGTCTGTCTCTTTTTCCTTGTCTTCCTGTAAGATTTCTCGGTCATATAACGACGAAATGAGTACATAAAACTGAAAATAATAAAAACGTGTCCTTTTCTAAATGAAGTTGTGGACAGTCGAAAATATCCAACAACGCTAGTGTATCAGAAACCAATTAGGAATACAAAATGGATTAGTGTGGACCTAACCTTAAAAATAACGTCACATGTATAGCATTGTAAACCCCATAAAAATTAATAATGAATGAATAATGAAAACGCTAATAATTTCCGGACTGGAAGGTTCTGGTTTTGGAAGAAATCAATTCACTGCGCAAAAATTCTTGCAATTATGAAGATCTGCGCAAAAGTCCTTAAATTGTAAAAAACTGCAAATAAGTTCTGAAGAATCTGCAAAAATGCCTTTTGAATGAAACATATTTCTGATCTTCCTATTTGACCAAATCACTTTCTGACTGCAGCATCCCCTGGTCTGACGTAAATCTTTTGGGAAAATATGTGACATTCTGCGCATTTTTCTCAAGGAAAAATATTTCCTGCGCAAAATAAAGCACTACTGTGTTTAATGTAACTCTTCTTCCAATTCTTCTGTACGTGAATGAGTTGTATTGAATATAGTCAATATGCAACACAGCCGCTCATTTTGTAAACATTACTAATTATTTATATATTTCTTTATACAGAGAAGGAGGAGATATTTCTGACAGAAGAAAAACTTGACGAGGTTATAACTTCGTGTGAGCAAGAAAACAATTTTAAACCGTTAGTTAGTTTACTCGGAGATGTCTTTACTAAATCAGCATCACTAAATAATAGTTTTCCTCTGCAGTCAAACAACGACGAAGGTGTTGATCTCAAGTCTGTAAAGAAAATGTATGAAACGTTGTTTAACCTGCAGAACTCTGCCATTGAAAATACGTTAATAAACTCCTTAGGAACATTGTCGACAGACATCGAAGTTGAATTGAAACGCAAAGCGTATGTTGTTAATAATACGAACTATTTCAAACAATTCATAATAATTTTCGAAAATCCTTATTTGAATCAACCGGAATATTTAGAAAATGCACTACCCTGTTTCTGCAAAGCAGTATCCTTACTTCCTCTTAACATTCAAGTACCACTGGTACAAGAGTGGAGCAAACATTCGAGAGATTCTTTAAGAAAGAAAGTTGAAACAGTTCAGCATCTTATAACACTTCGTGTGATAGATGGCCCTTCATCAAATTCTATTTCTAGCACAGTTAATGAAGATCCTGTCATAGCTCATGCAACAAAATGTTTGAAACTATTTTATTATGCTTCACTTCTGGGAGGAAAGTTTGATAAGTTAAGCTCAACGGAAGAACCTATGGCTATGGATGTTGGCGAGTCTGATGAAGACGCAACCTTGGTGAAAAGACTTGAATTGGATGTGCTAGACTGTCGAGAACCGTTACTGCCATTTGACGAGTTTATTAACGATCCATTAAATGAAGAAATAGCTGTAGATCGTGATTTTACCTTGTATAAAACAAAAGAAGGTTTTTCTTTTATGGAATGTAACTGTATTTTAACAACTCATATAAAGAGTGTGTGGATGGTTTATGATAATCGTGTTCATATGTTGCAAGAAAGACGTCTCACGCATATATATAGTTTACTACGAGGTCAGCAACCAACACCGTATCTCAAGTTAACAGTGCAAAGAGACAATTTGATTCAGGATGCTCTAGTCAATGTAAGTTTAAATTATTACTAGTCGTACTTCATTGCCCAGATGACCTATTTCTAACTGGATTTACATTTCGTATCTTTTCATTCTAAACGAATCTGAGGAAAGCTGTTAAATATGAAATATCACCATTTTTAATGTGAGTATGAAAACAAGCGTGTTTCAGCGTAGTTTCAGCCTAGTTTCCATTTGGTCGCAAGTGTCGTGACACGTCATCATCATCACTGATGTGAAGTAGTCTGGATCAATCTCGTCTTTTGTGTGATGTATGCAAATCAGAATTCACTGGTTGTAGAGAGTATATCGACACTGTATTACATCAACTGGGGTGTGAAACATATACAACTACCTGGAAAATATATTAAACAGAACTTCGACGTTTCGAGCGCCCTTATAGTAGCGTGGAAAATTGTATGTGCAAAATTGTTTAAGCAAGCGACGTTTATGTCAACACGGACGTCAGATTGCGTAGGGGGGAGGGAGGGGGGCAGATTAAAACTGTGTTTGTGTCAGTTAATTGTGGTAGTCTTCAACACATATGACAAAACAGAAGATTTTTAAAAGTTTTTTGCTTCCTTACACGAGCGCTACGATGCAAAATGCCTTCAAAATTAGTTCTACAAAACTTCGTGTGACGTCAGTGTTGACAAAAGACGTCGCTTGCTTGAGCTTGCTATTGTCACGACAGTTGTGGCCTGATGGAAATGAGACGAAATGAGGCGAGGTTTTAGTATTGGCACCACTAAATTATGGATAGCATAACCTTTCAAACTATCCAGCTCTGTCGCAAAGAGAAGGAGAGCGCTCTGTGAAGACGTCGGTGTCGTTCAGGTAGCGCATTCTACATATTAAAACAAACAGTTTAAAATAAACGTGTAAACAAGAAATACGAGTTTTCATTGAAAAATGTGCCAATTTCGCTGGTGAAACACATGTCAATCACTTTCACACATAACGTTGAAAGTGATGGCTGACCATATACCGTCGTTTGCGTCTAAGAGTCGTTACTAAAGACTCCGAATGGAGTCAAATCGTCACATATCAATGAGCTAAATCATGTGCTGAAAAATTAGTTTCTGACCCAAGGTCTCTGGTTTAACGTACAACGCTCAAATCATTGAGCTGTTGAGATCGCCCGATTGAGACACTCGGAATTTATACCAACCATACACCCAACGCGAGATATCCAATTTACAAACTTACAACTGCAAAGTTTCAGTTATACAACTTTGAAAAGTCCCTTTTCACATAGTATGAATTGTCAAGATTTTCTAACGTGGGAAGACAGTACCCTTAAAATTGCGGATATTGGCCCCCGTGAGAAAGGCTAATTGGCAATTCCAGCTTTTAGTTTATGCGTGCAGGGGACGATGGGAAGTAAGGTATCACATTGCTGATCATGCTGAAAAAAATAAAAATGGTGGCCGCGTAAACACGGAGTGATAGCTTATACTTGTAAATATTGAAATGTTTCGGTTGTTTCGGTAGTTTTTATTGAAATTTTTCAGCAAAATCGGCAATATGATACCTTACTTCCCATCATCCCCTGCAGGCATAAACTAAAAGCTGGAATTGCCTATTACAGTGAAACCTGCATACAACTGTCCACAGTTTACAGATTTAGTGACGGTCGCTAGATATAAGATGAGCGTGCAAGATGCGGTGATAGCCAAATTTGAGTATACTGTATGTTTTCAAATACACACAGCGTATGAATCTGTGAAGGCACTACAGTAGGATAATTTTTCGTATTCATACTTTGCAGTTTATTCCTACTTATTCTTAAATTTTCTGAAAAACGTCCTTGAATTTCATCTTCACTAATGGGCGGAAACTCTGATATGAACTCTCCGTTTTACAGAGATTAATTTGTACTTACAGCAGTCTTTTGTACGAGATTAAACTTTCTGTTTGTTCTCATCGCTATCTACACCGACCGTTAATTTACGTGAAAACTGTGGGTTGATAGAGATTCAAGTCAACTACATGAAAA